ACTCCCTCATGTAAAGCCCTCTCTTGACGGCGTTTGAGGTATAATAAATAAATAAATAAATAAATAAATAAATAAATAAATAAATAAATAAATAAAGTGAACAGCTGCGTACGTTCGCGTGTTGCCCAGCGGACGCCGGATTCGCAAAAGAAATAATAATGGCGTGATGGGCAATTAAGAATTGTACTAGCAGTAGGCATTCAACGATACATTGAAACGGCCAATGTTACGCGTACAGTCGTTTTTTTTTTCTTACGGCATGGTTGAGGCACGGCCGCTCAATCTCAAGCGGCCGTGGTTGAGGCATGCAACGAGAATCGACGTAGGCTGGCAGTGGAGAAGACGATGCGCTAAAGGCACGATTGTAGGTACGCTGTCGCGATATACTCTTGAAGGTGGAGCTAAATCGTCCTCCAATTTTTTTAATGCTCAATACGGTTTGAAATGTACAGAGGTCGGAGTATGAGGTCATCATTAAGTGTTGGATGATGGTAGCCTTTATGAAATAGTGAAAGATGATTAACTTCGCGCCCGTAGAATAAGCCATATATTATTAACTTTTTTTTCTTGAGGTTATGCTAGTAGGACCGTTATATAGTCAGAAAGTATGAATCGAGTAAAGTTATCTTGTGAAAGTCAGCATGGCTGGAATCCCATATTGCAGATGCATTCTCAAGCTTAGAGCATATGAGGCAGTTATAAAATAGTATTTTTAAGGTATAGATCGTGCTTTGGAAAAGATACGTCGTATGTAGCCGAGCATGCGATTAGTTGTCCAACTGAAGTTGTTTGTGAGTTTTGCGCCAAGATATTTATCACATAATGCAATCGAAGGGAATGGTAGATGTTAGGATTAGAGTTCTGGATACGTGAAGTGTCTTATATTTACTAATATTTAGTTAATTAACCGCTTGTTGTGCCGGTTAGCTGTATGATTTAGATCAGGTTGAACTGCTTTAGTACCATCAGCATTAGATGATTTCCGGGTACTTAACGCAGTCAACTGCGAACAGATGTATGTTAGAAGTTATTAAAGTAGGTAGATCATTAATACATATAAGAAACGAGGCGCCGCACGAGGATGACGACTGCCACTGAACGTTTGCAGCGACGCGGCTTTCCAGGTCGCGCGTTCCGCTTCTTCGACGAGCGGTGGCATCTGGCAGCGCCGGTTTCTTTGAGGTCGGCAGTGTCGCCCCCTGGACGTCGTGCACCTACGAGAGGCACCGTAGGAATGCGACCTCTTTTGCATGCGATAGAAATAGATAAGCGGTGCTCATTTGACTCGTTTCCCGGCCACGTCATGCGCTCTCGCACGTGCCAGAGTTGTTTTTTGGCAGGAGTTTGATCGTTTTCTCGCTCTCCCTGCTCATATATCCGCGCGCTTGACACGATCATTCCCGCTGAAAAGTTTGTATCAGAGATGTTTCGAAATACCCTCGTGGAGGTATTAACTTGTCGGAAATCGAAATAAGCGAGATTGTTTAGACTATTGTTGAAAAACAAACAAACAAGGAAAATGGGAGAGAGACAGGCAAAGACGGGATGAACACGTCCTCGTGTTTACTTTTTTTTTTCGTTTCCAGATTGACAAAACAAGAGTCAGTCGTTATAAGCCTAGTTAACTGTACGAAACGATGACAGAAGGCTTTATTGGAGAAAGATCACTGAGTTGTAGCAAAAATGGTTCGTTAGGTGATTGAAGCAAAAAGGTTAGGTGAGTGGCTCGCTCCAAAAGAGATAATCTAGTTGTCCTTATCGTCAAGAAGTCGCGAGTCTTACGTGCCCTCGTCGTATGAACGTGCTGTAGAAATGCAACTGCCCTGACGAAAATAGAGCTATTCGGCATTACTCCGCAAATGACGTGTCAGCTGTATAACTATGCTGGCTGGCTATAGCAAAGAAGACGCATGCAGTGATGAGCGTAATAATAATAATAATAATAATAATAATAATAATACGAGGTGATCATTAGAGGCGGCGTAATGGAGGGCTTCAGAAATTGCGACCGTCTGGTGTCAACGTGCACTATCATCCCACAGTACACAGGTGTATACCATTTAGTGATGAGCGTAGCACAACAGCTTCTGCCGTATTACGGGGCATGACGTCAAGGCGACAGAAGCGATAGATGGAGTACAGTAAGCTGCTATATGATGTGCGATAAACTACGGGGACGCCTGAGATAACGTAAAGAATCTCGTCATCGCCTGGCATTGCGCTTCCCGAGTGCGTTACGATGACATTTCGATTTCCGGCCGTGAAATCCGGCAGCAATGGAGTAAGAGGTATAAGCAGGCTACTCGAACAGCAGCGTTGTGTATAAACAAAACGGAACCCCTTCCTCGCCGGCGACGATGGGTGCGAGGACGGGGCTGGCAAGCGTCGGAGGGGGTCTTGCGGGCGGCTAGTATGGTGAGTCACTCGGTCATCGGGATGCGCAGCGCAGAGGGCGAGGACGTGGCAAATCCGTTGCCGATCTCGCGAGCTGTTTGGCAGGCCCTGCGGGAGGGTGACGACGAGCGGCCGGAAGCGAAGTGCGGCGGCGGAAGCTGCGGTTCGGGGGCGCGCGGTGGGCAAGCGCGCTCGTCTGACTCGGCTGCTTGCCGGATGCTGTAGATGCAGCTATACATAGCGCCGCGCTCACGAGACCTTCGCATTGCGGCGCTTTCCACGAAACAAACTTTCGTCGTCTCCTCCCGGGTGACGCGATCCGGCGGCGGTGCCTCTCCTCCCAGCCGGGTCGGCGCGCGATCAGCTTCTTCGCAAGCGAAACACCGGTTTGCCGCCGCTCCTTGGTTGCTCCGGCGTCCTGGGGAAAATTCTGGCTCGACTTGGGGAAAAGCGATCGGCTGCCGCGCGAAATGCTGCTGGCGTCGCTGCTCTGACCCGACTTCCATCGCGGCGTTTTTGATTAATGACCGCAGTTGGCTGAATACTACACCCCGCCTCGTTTGTCAGTGAGAGAATGGCAATGAGCGCAGCGCGCGTAAGCTTTTTCGTTGCCACGAGTTATGTTTCTGCCGAGGTGATGGGTGGGGAATGGGGCGCAGTGCCCTCTATGCGCTCTTTGGCCTCCAAGGGCCTCGTGAAGCACCGATGTAATGTTTGATCGGTTGGTCGTGTTTATGTGCATTGAGCCGGCCACGCTGGTCTAGCGGTGATGCTGCTCGACTGTTGACTCGAAGGTCGCGGGATTGAATCCCGGCCACATTTTCTGTGAAAGCGAATATGCATTAAGCCCATGTTCTTAGATTTAAGTGCATGTTAAGGAACCCCTGCTGGCCGCAATTTCAAGCGCTTCCCTTGCCTCATAGTGGTTATGGCAATGAAAGCCCCAGCAGTTCTTGCTTATACTACGCGTTTCTACCAGACGTTTCTACAAATATTTTAAGTATATAGTAATTAAAAATAAGGCGTCAGAAGAAAGAGAGAGAGAAAACGTGTACTGAATAATCGTTGGTGATGGTAAGATGTTCTTCAGCCGCATTACGACAAGGGCATATTGCTAAAGGCGCGTGTGCTTAGATCTATAGGTGCACGTTAAAGAATACCAGGATGCCGAACCTTCGGAACCCTACGATACGGTGTCTCCGAAATCGTTTTGTGACATAAAAAATAAATTCTAACATTTATTTTAGTGCGTTTTACACAAAATGGAATAAGTACGAATGGTAAGACTGCCGCGTACCCTCACATTGCGTGTATTATTTCTAACAGTTTTCGAGAAAACTGATTTCTCAGTCATAAGATAGACGGGGTGAAAATGCAAAGATCGTGGATTTCGCTCATGTGAGGAGCTTCTATGATTTCACTTGACAGATATGTGGGGTTCAACGTCCCAAAACCACCATATAATTATGAGAGGCGCCGCAGTTGAGGGCTCCGGAAATTTCGACCACCTGGGGTTCCTTAACGTGCACCCAAATCTTAGCACACGAGCCTACAGCATTTTCGCCTCCATCAAAAATGCAGCCGCCGCAGCCGGGATTCGATCCCGCGACCTGCGGGTTAGCAGCCGAGTACCTTAGCCACTTGACAACCGCGGCCGGGCTTCATGATTTCACTTATTCTTTCTACGTGCCTGAAGATGACATGCGTGCTATAAAGCTAATGTTTATAAATGGATGGGTGGACAATGAGATGACAAATGTGCAGTAGGTGTGCCCTTTGATGGGTTGTTCTGCTGGCGTAGCCTCTCGTTGAGACAGGTGCCAGTCTGTCCAGTATATGTTGTGCCACGGGTTGGCGGGATGATATAAGCTCCACCACAATCACACGTTACCAAACTATTGCGATGATTGATGGAACACATATTCTTTTGTGTATGCCCTGTCTTCTTCCTGCCGGTGTTGTGGTTGTTTCTCTTTCAAAGCTCGTGTGCCATAGTTGATGGAAAGATAAACCACGCGTCGATCCCCACCCACCCGTCAGCATGTCCTGCATTTCTCCAGCAGGAAGGGCGTCACCTATTCCCCGTCGACCTTTCCGACTCTGTGCTCTTCAATGGTGCTTGGGCGACTACATAGCTTTTGTGCGTTCGTGGATTGCGTTGTTAACTTCTTGCCTTCTTTCACTTCAGAGATGAAGCAGATGGCTGCCCTTGACGCGCGATAGCAAAATCTGACGAATAGCTTAGGTTTCAGTAAATATTGCGCGTTTGCTCTTTGAAGCTGGCGTTGTGAGCTTGCGTTGCATATTTAGCGCCGCGTATACACAAAATTTCGACAGGAGTGTTAGCTCAAAGTCGTCGCTTCATGTAATTAGAGTCCTACAGGGTGTTCGCAGTACCGGAACAACCGTGTTATTCGACCTCAAACGAAAACGCCGAGAAGGGCAATCAGCGATGAGAAAGATCGAAATTTGCCGCGCGCTCCCGCCGCGAGAGCGTTGCCTCGCAGTGCTAGGGAGAAACAGTCGACGAGCCTGGGGAGATTCTGGTGGAAGCGTGCGCCCCTCCAGATGGCGCCGCCGCTGAGAGCGGCAGACGACAAAGTTTGCTTGCTGCGTGCGGTCCGTGGTGTGTCGTAGCAGTTTTCGCGATGGCTCATTTTTTTGAGTCATGATAGCACCTTGTGACGAGTCCATGCGGTTGCCCATCGGTCGCTTCGTGTGCTTCGGCTGTGTTGACTCGTGAAGGTCCCCCAAAAGGGGGTGAGAGAAGGAACGCTGCTTTTCTCACCGGGATGGATTCGTGCTTTGGCGCGCGCAGCCTGTTCGGAGGACACTCGAGCACGGACACGCTGTTCAGCAGCACCCAGCTCGAAGTCATTCAAGACCTGGACCTCTACTTCATTCGGCAGATAGCGCACAGCCTCGGGGTGAGTTGAGCACGGTGACTGCCAGCGCGCGTGCGTGCCGGCAGCTGTCAAGTGGATGGATAAGCTCCTCGTGGTGGCGATGGGGGAGCGCGATTCAGGTTTGCCTTCCTTCCTCGTAGCAGCGGGTTCGCGGCGGGCCTCTTGCCGCAAAGCCGCTGCAAGGAGGCTTTTCTCACGCTTCACTCTACAGATATCGGCGCGCGTATTGGGGCGATGTAGTGCTTACGACTGACGCAGCGTCATTTGGCGAGACTAGACCCGCGCGTAAGCTGAACCGACGTATCACCGACTAGTGCTGTTTCGCCTGTCATTTGCCATTTCATCGTCGCCACATGCCCTGGATCATTCGGTTGCGCACATTGCTGACGTGCCGGGCATGCTGCTGGGACCCGGAAACTGATGTGCCGCCGAGGTCGGTCACTAGTCGCGATATCGTGCCCGCTAACCTCTCCACCTTCCACTTGAACTCTCCGCAAAACGATCGCCTTGACGAATAAGATAAACAAAGTTTATATGCAGTGGCCCGAGACCGGCTAGCTGTATATTTTCTTTGCACCCTTTCAAGCCGCATCCAGCCGCTGGGCTATGCATCCGTCTCGGCCATGCGTGCATTGCCTTATTTTTAAGGATGCGTAACGGCCAGCGCTGTTTGCACGTGCGTGTGCTTAGGGCGTGTTGTCGTAGGGGTCCGGTCGAGACGAAGCGCAGAGGGAGGCCGTTATTTTTAGACCCGGCGACGAACCGCGTCCGCGGGACGGGTCGGTCTTGGTTGTGGCTCCACCGTGGCTGCAGCAACGCCTGAAAAATGAAAATCGTAGAACGCAAAAAAAGAAAAAATAATGTTCCAGCCTGCGGTTTGCCTCCCCCAAGTAAGCTCACTCAGTTTACGCACTGGTCAGTTTACGCATTTAGCGGGCGAAAGTATGCCATCACTTATCGGGCTGCGGTAATCGCTGCTGCCGACACGAACGCTTTCGTGTCAGACACTAAACACAGCAGCAGGCAAACACAGGAATCCGGCGGTGTGCAATTCACATCAGAGTGACTGTGTGGTCCCTCGACGTTATCGTGTCCCCCTTGGTGATAGCGCGCGCATCAAAGCTCGTCGACGGGAACACAAGGGGCCATTGCATTTTTTGGGCGTGTGAATCCATAGCATGTACTTCGAGCGGTGAGTCATTTGCGCGCAAATTGGCTGAGAGTAACGTGGCGCGAGGGGGGTTAAGTCTGGGTAAGTGCTGCAGCGATATTTTGCTCAGTTCTCTATCTTGCGGGGTACACAGGGATATTTTGCGTATGCATTTTAACGAATATAAGTCAAATACACCCACAAAGAAATATTTATTCCAGTGACCATGATGCGCAAACGCTGTACACAACTGCCGATGTTTGTTTCTCGATAGATACGGGGTCAGTGGACTCGTTTCAAAGCCAAGATTTCACGAGGCTAAACTCGATCGTCTCCTGCAATGTGGTCCCTGTTTTTCAATACGTGTGAACTGGCGCTTGCAAGATGTGACCTCGCGCGTGTCTAATGAGAATGAAAGTTGTGGCCCAAGAAACACCGAACTTTGTGCTAGTATGTAAACTTTCTGGAGCCGGCGCACGAACTGTCGTCGAACAGCCGTGCTACTCGAGTTAGCCGCAGGTTGTACGCAACTGCCTCGACTTTGCCAGTGCGAGTCTTCGAACGACGGGTACGCGGGAAGAAAGATGCGATTATCGTAAACGAATAGGCATTTTGCCGCCACGAAGAAATTCGGATGGTGGGAGTAGAACGAACGTGCGCATTGCTTGCCTGCTTCGTGCACTTTTCTCGGTTTCAGTGTACGTCGGTGCGCATTTCCAGCGAGCTGTAACGCAACCGCCACGCGTAAAGCGCGCTTTCAAATTCGACCAGCAGTGACCATAGAGAAGCATACTATATAAAGAGTGGCCACTGGAGCCTTTTTACGGTTCAGCAAGAAAGGGTCTGACCAACCGCTAGATGGCGTACCCATTGTCGCTTTTACTTTTAAGACATGTAATAGCATCCTCAAGAGGACGATGAATACCCAAGTTTTGCATCAATTTTTTGCAAAGAAAAAACAATTTATTGGTGCAATTTTCCATATCGGCTCTACATCATGTGCCGCCGAGGTCGTGTGCCTTACAACAGAAAACAGTAAAGTATGGCAAGAAAGTGTTCTCTTTCTGCATTTGTTTTGCACAATGAGGCACATTCATGTTGTTTAGATGTACTGTACATGAATGCCCCTTTGTGGACGCATGGGTCAGTAGCATGGTCCCTCAATAGGGACCATGGTAGCATGGTCCATGGTAGCATGGTCAGGGACCATGGTAGCAAAAGTATTTAGGGACCATGGTCAGTAGTCTAGTGGTAAAGACACTCGCTTTCGGAGCATGCGGTCACGGTTTCAAATCCTAGCGTCGGAAAGAAAAACATTTTGTTATTTTATTTATGCTGAAGACATTGTCGGGTCTGACCAACCACTCGCGGCGCTGAAAGCAGTGCAGTATGGGCCGCAAAGCCCCACGGGAGTGCCCGCTCTTTATGTGTGTTTCTCTATGCAGTGACGGTTTTTTGGTCGTTTATTTTTTAGGCGCTTGGTATGCGTGTGATCGCGCGGCTTTTTCCACTGGCCTGGGACTGTCCCACCGAAGTGTATGCTCAGGCTCGTCCGGATAACTCGGGAATTATTTGCACGACTCAGTCTGAATATTGTTCTTTGGGAACGTCATCACGAGTGCTTTGGTCCAGTCCATGGACTGCAGCGATTTGATCTGAGCTCTGACTCGGTAGTATACCGTCTGCAAACTTTAACGTTCCAAGAACACGCAGCGGGCTGTCGATCATTAATGTTCTAAGTGAGGGTGGAAAGCAGTTCGAATGTGCTAACTGGCAGGCTTTACATCGTCGTGTATTGCTCCTTTGTAAGGCTTCCGCGTCACGCATCTCAGCATTCTCCATTTCTTCAGTATGACTACTGAATGGTGGAGGCGCAAGATTCAGATTAACCGAGCGAGGTTTACCTCAACTCATCGTGCTCACATGTTTCGACGGGATTTGAATGGCGCAGGCTGCCTTTCCCAGACGTTTCACCCCTGTAGGTAGCCGAGTGTCGGGCCGGGGGATGCCTGTGCCCATTTTGTAATACCGGTGGGTATCCGGCGGCACGTGGATTTGAACCCACGACCTCCCGCAGCCGAAGCGGACACTCTACCACTAGGCTAAAGCTGCGCTCAGTTTATGTACTTTTTTTCACTTTTTTTTTTCACTGCACTAACGTATCATGGGTTTGTCGTTAGTCGCTGCTGCCCGCGAGGATTATTTCTAGATGCATGTATGCATTTCATTGATATTGCTTTAAATAACATATACTTTGTCAGTCTGCTCATATATTGATTCTGTGTTTGTTTATAGGAGTACCTTTTATGCCCTTATTTTTTCTTCTTGAAGAAAAATTAGAAGAAAAAAGAATACACGAGTGGTAGTTGTAAGCGTTTGTCTCGAACGGGCTGTGCGCTAAATCAGAGTACACGTAGTTCAAGACAGGCGGAGAAGGTGTCACAAAGGCAGGACAGTGGAGCGCATTGAGGACCAACTTCCGGTGCACCTTCGGCACTGCGACGAAGTGCAGTGCTGTTCGGACGAGCCTCGCACGTCGGAGGAGGCGAAGAAGAAGAAAAAAAGGGGGGCTTTTGTTTTCTGTGGCGTTCGTCCAAGCCGCTATTCTCGCTCCGAGCGGGAATCGCGGTCACGCGCTGTCCTCCTCCACGGGTCCCGCGCTTCTCTGCCTTTCCATCTCCGCACGGGCTGGCGACCCAGAGGAAGAAGAAGAAGCCCTGTGATGGCTAACAGGCATGCCCCGCTGGCCGGTCCTGCAAATGGGCCGTGGCGCTTGTGGGGTGCACGTCTTCTCGAGCCGAGGCTCGCTATGGCTTTACGAATGTTTTCGCCGCGTGGCGAACTACTTTCGGACACGTCGGCGGCGTTGTCTCGTTTGCTGGAGACTGAAGTGAAAGCCTCTGGCGCTTGTGCTTAGCGAAAGCGAAATGAGTCGCTCCGAGTTTCTGCGCGCCTACGTCCCTCTGTGCAAGGCTCGGCTCCGAAAAGGAAGTCGCCGCGTCTAAAGCACTTCGTGACGCCGAGCGGCCATCCTGTGACTCTCGCAGGGCACTTTCGAGGAACTTTGTGGGGCCCTACGGAACGGTTTTTTTTTTATGTGAAACATGCAAACAAGCTTATATAGCATGACAGGAAATGCGTCTGTCTTAGAGCTTCTGGCGCTGGTTGCTAAGTAAACGTTATTAAGCACGAACTCAAGCAATGAGGTCGCATCGATTTCTGCTGTATTTATCTTTTTTTTTGCGAAACCCCCTACTAATGGTGTGCACCGTCCTTGTGGAGCCTGCAGCATCACAACATTACTTCTCTCATAACCTTTGTAGTTGTGTCACGCGTGTCTCAGTATGATAGACTCGCCTCTCAGCGGAACTGCTCCAAATCTCGCATGTGTGTGTGTATATGCTGAACACGCACTGCGCGGAGAAGGGAAGTGTTCTGCCGAGGCAGCAGAGGCATCAAGAACTTCTCAACTAGCCCGTGAGCTACCAGAATGGGCTGCTAAACATCCAGGTCGCACTTAATCGTGACCTCCTCCTTCTTTCTATTTCATTCGCCCGTGTGTTTATTTCGAGTATTTCGGTTTTAAGCTGTAATTTCACCATTCATGGATCAGGCTTGGTGGAGGGATAGTTCACTGACCGTAGGGAGCATCGATGCCGGTTGGAATTTCCAAGTTTACATTGAGGTAGAGAACCTTGGTCGTGCTCATGGTTTGTTCGACTTTCGGCATTCGGAAAACACACGTGGTGATCTCTTGTATCTTTATGAGGGGTTAGTGTTGGGGGGGGGGGGGGGTTTCTTAAGCCTGTTCACAAACCGAACTTGGCAGCCAGTATGATATGTAATATGGGCTTAAAATTACACGCCTCTC